TTTGCCTTTAATTTGATCCACTTCAAGGTTACACTGTCTGTGAACCTCATCAAACTGCAGATTGTTTACTTCCGAAGGTCGGCGCTTGTGTTTATTTCTCTTCAGTTGGCCTTTTCCATTTTCTTTTTTGTTTGGGGGTTAGTATTCAGGACGATGTCAAGGGCATGTGACATACTGTCATTTTGACAAATGTGGAGAGGCTGATGCTGTTCCAGCTGAAAACAACAGTTTGTCTATCTATCCTTCCCACATGCAATCAAAAATTTAAAAAAGAAAAGGCAGGAAGTCATCTAGCTTTCAAGATGACTCATATCACAACATTCCATTTTCAACCAGTGGTCTCCACAAACTCCACACTACAGTGTGATTGCGCTGTGACACTGCTCATCCCCAGTCTGATGTGAATATGAATGAGCTGTTGTTGATCTGCTGAATGGATCCTGTGTCATGTCAGCAGACTGAGCAGACATTTAGTGTGGAAGAAAAGCTTCAAATTCCTCTCACAAGGATAAAATGTATTGTGTTCATGTCTAATCCAGATCATCTGATTCTCATTTACATGCTATCCTTGTACCAATCTTTGAACATTTCTGCACTAACACAAAACACAAAAGAAGAATGATTAGAGAGCCCTGGAGAGGCTGTTGTCAGTGGTTGTCCAATCAAAAAGGAACGTTTTTCCCCCTGTAGAACCTGTTATGTTCTCATTGTTAGATTTGTACTTAAGTTGTCTCATGTTATGCTGTGTTACTGTTCTGAGAAGGAAGTGCCCATGGCAACCATTTTTCTTTTCAGTGTGGCCCTAAAATTGCACATATAAAAACACAAGAAAGAGGTTTTGAGCTATGGCTTCGCTATCTCCTTGAACCTTTAGATGTTGTATGGTCGATAAAAATGTAACTGAGGCTTGACGCTGGAGAGATAATTAAATCTTCTCTTCTTCTCTGGTTGTAGGGCCAGCAGAGGCCTCCAAAGACGTGTAAGTACAATAGTCATCAGTTTTTGAGTAGTTATGACTCATATAAACCTAATAGTCCTTTTGTGTACAACACATAATATTTTCATTTTATCACACATTACAAGTCATCATCAACACCTTTAATAGGCCTTTTTTTTAAACCATTAGTCAGCAAAAAGAAGGCGTTAAAGTGTTCAAATAATTTCTTCTGTCACTGCATGAGTTAAACGAAAAACATTTTTAAAACTATTGAACTTGTAAGTTCAGTGATGTATCCAAAAAAATGTACTTGTAACACACCGTAACATATATTTGAGAGTTTAATATTCTTTCCTTTCAGTAATAGCAGTTGCCTATTGTTACAGTTTTGCAGTTGATTTTTGTCGTTTCTTTACAAAATTGAGGATTTATTGTATTTCAAGGTCTTTCAAAGAAAAGGGTTTGTTAGTAAAATCACCTTCATGTTTATTTTATTTTTTTCTGTTCTCCTGTTTGTTTGATAAAAAATGTCTAAAAGTTTTGGGCATTATCACAGTTTCTTCAGTTGGTTTCACCTCTGAAAACAGGGATCAAATGAGTCCATGGTTCACTTAAAAGGGCATTTTGTGATAACCAAACACAACAGGCCCCAGGAGAGCTGACAGTGGTGCACATCTGACTCACTGGACTAATCACAGCTTCCCAGAACTCGAGCTTCCGAGCACTGATTTATCAAGCAAACTCCCCATCTCTGCCTTCTAACTACAAACACAACATCATTAGAAAGTGATAACAACGATGAATTGAACTTTATTAAAAATGTCAAAGTTATGCGTCACCGCTTTTGTCGCTAACTTGACATTTCTCTCAACTAGGACAGAAGAATCCACTGTAGATGATGAGAAAAGAAGGTAATTCATAATCCATGTTACTCCTCTGACACAAGTAGATTTCCCAGTGTTGTTCTAGTGTGTTTAGATAGAGACCATTGATCACATGGCAAATTTTTATCTCCTTGTTTCTTCAAGCAATTTTCTTTAATTCTACTCAGAAAATGGTTGGTTGAAAAAGAAAAGAGTAGAAAGAAAAATAAAAGGTAATAAAAACCTGAAGACATCACAAATGATGTGACGGCTATGAAATACAACACAACGATGATTTCACAAGGAATTTCAGCTTGAATTAAATCCTCTCTGTAGGCTAAACAGTAACTGTTGTGTGCATGTGTGTATGTATATGTTAATATAAATATCTATGTACTTCTCATATGATTAAGTAATTGATGTTTTATCAATGTTACCATAGGTGTACCAAACTGCTTCAGTGCTTGTCTTCTCTCCGTTTAGGAACTATGGTGGGGTGTACGTGGGTTTACCAGCAGAACTGGCAACAGTGGCTGAGAGTCAGTCCAAGTCCACTCATAAAGGTGTGGTAAACATGTATCTGTCTCTGTGTCTGTGTAAAAACCTGTAGTGAGGTATTTAGTTGTCTTGACTGACAGTGATGGACCTTTTGAAGAATTTGCCTCGGAGAGAAGGATGATCTCCAGAGCCCGATCCCTAAAGCTACACGTTGTTGTTGGCGTGTGCTGTTTTTTTTTTCTGACCTTTTCTTATTGTGGTATCGACTGGATTGCCCTCGGGGGTTTTTTTTTTTTTTTTAGTTGAGAATCGTGTAGTAACCCCTGGAGAATATTTAATATTTTAATATATTTGTTCTTGTGCAAAAAACTACACTATTATCTATTATTACTATGTGTAATAAAATATATAGATTTAGTGGTGTTAATTTGACTGCAATACCTGTAAACAAACCTATTTTAGGATTGAATAACCATGAAATAGCTCACAAAATGAACCCAACTGGTGGATGAACGGGTTTTCTCTTATCGTTATCGTCCTTGTGCTCTTTAAGGTTAAATATAATGACAAATGGATTTGTTTTGTATCCTCTGGCACCAGTATTGATTGACCGAGCTTAGAATATATTGTACTGATGAATATGGATATAAAAGAAATGGTGTATAGCAGAATGGGAATTATTTCAAATAAATAATATCAAATATATATATTTTTTCTATCACAGATTAGAAGTCAGAGCATGAAAATGAACAAACACAGGTATGAGGGTTTTTTTTTTTTTTTTTCGGAGCAGAGACTGAAGCCAAGTCTGTGATTAAGTCATTTTTTTTCTTTGTCTCAGCAGGAGCCTGAACATTCTTTCACCTACAGAGACTCAAATTATAACCACGGAACTGCTGTGATGACTCATCGCAGTCCAGTGACTTGAGACTGTAATGCTCTCACTGAGTGAGGACGTGAACTGAACCTGCCGGTCTTCTCTCAGAGACCTGGAAGGGTTCATGGCTGCGAGCATCTACCATCACTGTCAAACTTCATTTGAACAAAAAAAAAAAAAGAAAGAAAAAGAAAACTTTAGCCTGGCAGCTGTTGGACTTGACTGTAGCTCCTCATTTACAGCCCTGAATGTTGTCTAAGCCGCACAAAGGGTCGTGGACTAACTGTTTGAATGCTTGAAACGTACGTGTGCTGTAGCTCCCCTTTTGCAATATTAACAATAAGCCCTCCATGGTTTCCCTAAAGCTTTATTAAATTTTCATTGTTTCATGGGAAGAGATAAAACGAGAACCAAAAGTGAAAGAGAAAGAAGGAAAAAAACCCTGCACATTAGTGGTACCCAGTCACATAACAACAATGTGTTACATAGTTAGACCCTCTTAGCATCCAAATAGTACCACTGAGAAAAGTCAAAGATGTTTTTACCTTATTCCTAATGGAGCAACTACCCATTAAAATTTATGTAACGTCAGGGCTAATGTTGAAATCGACAAAGATCATTTCTGACTCTTTCTCTCTTGGATCAAATTTTCTTTCTCTCTCTCCCAGTGAACTGAAAGTGCTTTGAGGCAATGGACGTAGCTCATGTAATTGTTCTCTGGATAAACACAAGCAATATAAATGTGCATCTCACAAAACAAATTGGAGCCCACTGTACACGTAACAGCAGAAAATACAGAAAAACCTTCGTTCGTTCATTTACAGCTACAGAAACCACAGACTGACAGCAGCTGAAGTCATGTTTTAAAATGTTTAAAGTTTTTTATAAAATATACTCTTTATATTACAGTTAATGTGAATGTTGTCTCCACTTCAAGGCTGTTGCTCACCGCAGTGTGTACGTCTTCAGCTGCAATGATTTTTATTAAAAACACGGTCTGCGCCGTGTAGAAATGTTTGACCGTTTTTGTAACTTTACAAGTTCTTGTCAAACGAAGGTTGAATGTTAGTGAAAAACATATGGGGTAAAAAAAAAAAGGACACACGAAACAAGATATCCAACGTCATTATTCACACTTCAGTCAGTGAACCCTGCACCGCAAATACAAACACACACATACATGTCGTTTGGTTTTGTGCAGACGACATACAAACAGTGTATTTATTGGGCCCATTTTCCAAAGTGGATTATTTTAGTTCAATTACATATTTAAAAACATTCACACTCATCTAGCCCCAATTCGTCACTCAAAAAAAAAAACATGTCAAAAACATTTAGAAAATTCAAATTCTCTCCACTAGGACAAAATGTCCTCATTATTTTTGAGAGAATCTTTGTCATCTCCTGGTATATTTACCAACACACACACACACACACACACATACACACATTGGTGGGTGCAAGAGACCAAAGTCATTCATCAGCCTGCCTCATGACAGGATTCTCTCCTATAATGAATGTAACATATCTACTCACTAGAACCCCAAAGGAACATGGGAAGGAACACAGATCATTTATTACATACGTGTTCTCCACAGTCCTTCTCCACTGTCTCATATGAACACTTACAACAGAGTTGCAATTCACCAGACAGAAGAACTGCTCCCATGGTACAGGGATCAAAAGAATGATTGGGAAATAAGACCATGTGACTCATTACAACCAGCCAATTAACTTCTTAATCTCAAAATACCAAAGTGGCATGAGTGAATGTTCTTCACCTAGACACACATTAACACTGTTTCAGTTTATTATATTTTATCGAAAGTTTTAAAAAATTGGTTTTATGGTAAAGTCGTGTTTTGCAGCACCAGTTACGGCTAAAAGAAAAATAGTTTCTTTCAGGAGCTACAAGAGTGCAGTGGCTCACCAGCGTACCTCAGTACTTCGCTCACTTTCATCCGTTATTCTTTGCCCTTTAATTTTTTGCGTCTTGAAAATACCAGATGTGATTTTCTTTGCCCTATTAAATTAAGATCTGAATATGGAGTATTTAAAAAAATACCATGAATCAGAGTGTAATGTTTCAGTATATTTCAGAATAAGAAGTTGGGTAAGGTAAGAGGAAAACTGTTAAATATTCAAAGATACATCAATATTGATTTGCTGAAATTGTATTTTACCTTCAGGGTTTTAGGTCAATTATTTATTCTTCTTGACTCTTTCATTTTAAGTCTTTAAACTAGGCTACGCTAACTGAATGCGGGTGGTTAGGATGAAAAATATTCCTTTATACTTGCTCCAGAAATACATGACTGCATTTCATTTCTAAAGTAACTGTATGTTTGCAATGTGTCTGGGATTTGTGAATTAATGCTGGAAATGTACAGAAAATGTGTGACGTCTGATGTCGGCAGATTATTGTTATACAAATTAACACCTTTTTGAAGAAAAACCTCCGCGTTGTCAAGAGTTCTTGGGAGAAGGTTCTGAATATCCACACGTGTGAAGTAAGATACTTACAAGGAGGAGAGAGAGACAAGCGAGGTGTAAAGCCTTCGACACCTCCCCCTCAGAAGGGGGCGGTGTCGCACCACCACTTGGATTAATTATTTATGAATAAACTCTTTTCAAATGTCACGGTCTTGTTGTCTTTTGTGATCGATAGCTTGATTGAAACACAATGATTTTACCATGTGGTGTAGGTCAACCACTGACTCCATTACACTTATCATCATTATTGAACCCAGGCCTGAGGTGCAGTTCTCCTGCAACACGATCATTCACACACGGCTCCGTCTCAGTAATTGACTGCATTGGGAGTATGCGGTGGAGGTGGAAGGAGAAGTAGGTGGAGACGAGGCTTTTATCACAGCGGGAGACGACGCACGTCACACGTCGTATGGCAGGATGAAAAATGAAAGCTGCTTGTGTCGGTGTGAACAACATGAAGCAGCTTTAATGATGGGTCAGGCAGATTAATGTATGGATAAGATGAAAACAATTATTATAATTGTGTTTTTAAAGCACTTTTTTTCTTAATTATAGTGAAATGATGGCGTCTTGATGTAGTAGATAATACTGTATATATACTAGACCAGTGGTTCTCAAACGTGTACCACTGGTGGTATGCATACCACAGTTTGAGAACCACTGTTTTAGAGTGTACAGTTGAAGAAAGTATGTACAGATTTATCTTATAGTTCAATGATAATAGGTATTATTTTAAAAAAATATGTACTGAAGATAATGGTACTCTTTAAAATCTAAGTAGTTTGATACAGCGAGAAATAATACAGTGCTTTTAACGTGGATGTTCAAATTCCTCACAAATTAAATTCTTACTTTTATCAACGTTGCAACAACATTGCCGATCTTTACGACAGTGAAATTGCACTCTCCATCATCCAGTCCAGTCCCAGCTTTTAAAAACAAACAGATGTAATAACCTCATGCTCATTCAGGGGGTGGGAGGGGAACAAGACTGGTGTTTCTTACATCAAACACAGATAAAAATCTCCCTCTCACCCCCCCTCCCCCCACCCCCCTCTGTGTCTGTGTGTGTATAAGGTGTTTGAGCTACGTGTTTGAGATCATGTTCCAAGCCCTCAATCAGATCATCTGAGCATCTGTTCTAGCACGACATCACAGCTGTGAGCCTTCAGTCCACGCTGTGATTTTCCTGTTTGAACTTCCTCTTTTTCTAGCTGCTCTCTTACTCACACATGAAGTCCACAGTTAAATAACCTAAAAAATACACAATGTGTTTCATTCCACTATTGTTTCTACTAATAAAAAAATATTATTATTTTTTTTTACATTTTTTACATATGTTATTTTATTACATTATAATATAATATGTATTATGATTATATGGATCCTATAATATAATATTTGATCTACTTTAATTTCCACCCAGAAGAGGTGAACAAAACAACGGGAAATATATATGTATAAAAAAGTGATTTTTTTTTATGTCCAATCAAAACTAAGAGGCAAATTAAAATGAATGGCATGTTACTCTGACGTCCACCCGCCTAATGACTCTGAAAATTATAATCAACATCATTGGGTGAGGGCAGTCTTTACCCTGGACAGCCCTCCAGTCCAACACAGTGCCACATATTGAGACAACCAATCTGAAACACCTGGAGAAACTTCATGCAGGAAGATCTTACCTTACCACCAGGGATCACACGTGTGATCTTCTTTTAGGAAGGCAAAAGCACTCACCCACTCTTCCACCAGGTGGCCCTTCGCGTGGCATTTCTCATCAAACCACCTCCCTTCAGTGACTCATAGGTTTAGCTGTGACTCCGATTACCGCCAGTGGGTGTCACTGCAGCCCAACCCAAGTTTAACCTCAAAGGGCGCATCAAAGACTCCATGTTTATTTCAATATATGATTTCCACTGTTTTGTCAAGTGCTTGTTATTATCTCGGCCTTTTGACAAATGAAGCCAGAAGGTTCCACAAATTTCAGGAGCCAGGGTCATCACTTCACACCTAACCCAACTGTGGCAGAACAGCAATCACTCTGGTGGTGGAAAATGTTATTGACATCTTTTCCATGGTAATCAGAGCACTTAGTCACCAGGTCAGGTTGCACTGATGAGTTTGCAGCCAGTGCCAGGCTTAATTATAGACCCTACTTTACGGCCGTGGAAATCATGGTGCTGAGCCTGAGTGGGTTAAATAGTGAACATGTTGGAGTGCCAAATCAGAACACTTTATATTATCATCTTGTGTTCCAAACTGGCCCATCAATGAGGCCAAAGCAACTCGACATCTTTGATAGACCTGAAAGGTTCTTCCATGTATAGGCTGGAGTATGCATGGATTTCAGAAAGAAATAAAACGTGGAATTATCTAAACATCTACACAGATGTTAATGTATTGTGATTTTCATTTTTGCAAAGACAAATATTTTTGTTGAAATCCACAGCATGGTTTTATTAGTCGGTCCACTTTGGTACAGCTTTCTTTTTATGTCCATAATCACCACTGATTAATGTAACACTTTTGTACATTTTTTCAAGGGTGTTTACTTTCCATTTTGTCAAATTTAAACGACCAGTCAGTCTCCCAGTTTTGGAGCACTTTGAAGACTCCTTGATGAGAGAAATTCTAGACACCCCTGACTTTATTGACAACAGGTTTCACTTAAATTTTAAAACAAAAGTCCCAAATGAGAGGGAATATGTTGTGCTAAAGACCCTCATGTGCTGGGACTCTTCACTGTAGCCTCATGTTTGGCCTCAACCAAAATGTGGCATCCCTGACCCAACAGATAAAGCTATAGGTGGAGTGCAGGGTGGGGTAAGGAACTGCTGTGGGTTGTGGCGGCTTTGCTTTCCTCTTGGCTTCTCTCTGCATGTGCTTCCAATTACAGACAAAGGGGAGGCGTTCCTGTGAAGCATGTGGTTCTGTTTAGAGCAGGTGAAACAATGTAGGAAAATAGATCCGTCATCTGTCGCATTCCAAGGACCAGTGAGAAACAACGCTAAATCATAGCTAAGATAATCCTGAGGAGGAAAGGGTGGGGTTAAGGTTCTAGTGGCATCTTCAACACAGGCTGGTCTCCAGAGACGTCTGTATGAGACTTCAAAGCATTAGAAGAACCTGAGTGAAACAATCCTTCTTCCTTATACCTCCAGTGTTATTTAAGATTTCTAGCGTTTTCTTCCAAATCCCATAATTTATAGGCGTGCAGTGGCTGTGAATGAAAGGAAGAGGCAGTCAATCAGTTCACTACTCTTAGCCAGGCTCAAACATCTGAACAATGAATTGGTTTTGTGTGCTAGAAAACCAACGTGCTTTTAACCACGTGGTCCACGTATCATTGTTATGTCCACTCGATGAATAGTGCAGTTTATCAACACCAGATATTATGTCTTTGATACTACTTTACAATTTCTGTGGAAAACTCTGGGTTTTTACTCATTTCTCCATAATTGGAGCCCCTCTTCACTGCTGCATTTGATTGGTTAATTCAGTCAATAGGACTAATCTAGAGGTGGTCAACACAAGTATACCTTAATCTGGAAGTGGTCAACAAGAAATTACTTGGTGTGAAGAGCAACTCCTACCCAGAAAG